CTCTCAGGTCACCCTTTAAAAAGATTTCCTTTCTTTAAATTCCGTAACGATCAATATTTGTTGAATAACTCATCTTCGAACTCGACCGAGACATTGTTAAGACTGAACTGTGTAGAAAATTTCATCGCGATTGACCTCTCCTTTCAAAAGTTATCGTGTAAACGGCCGGCCAGACATACTGACCGATTCTAGAGTGTACTCACTTTTTGAGTACACAAAAAGGAAAGAAAAATCAACATTGCTTCATGATTATATCTTGAAATGTTCAACTTTTTCAATGCTAATCATTCGATATCTTAATATTCAATACGATATTGTATATGATAGATTCAATGTCATACTTAATCAATCTAGCTGATTTAAAGATGTAGGCAACTAATTAGTTTTCTACATATGTTACATGATCGAATTGATAGAATAATTTTTCAATTAAATAACACAGACTGTTAGATTCTATTTTTTTTAACTAATGACAAGTATTAAAAACAATAATATAAAATTTTAAATATAATCGTAAAGTGAAGATTATTAATATGCTACGAGTAGAGATATGCGGGGTGGAAATGATTTTGTCTTATCCTATCTATTTTCGGACATATTTCTTCATTATCGTTTTACTTAATTCTTCACAAATATATGATCAAGCGATGTTATCGATGTACAATCTGTGAGTCCAAATTTAAATTCTTATAGTTCAACACTCGTTTTAGATCGTGTTTTACAAAAAAGTAAAGTTAGAATATCTATATTTTTTTTTTCTTTTCATTCAAATAAAAAACGTAAAAAGTGTAGAACTTTTGTTTTTCTAGATTAAAATAATGCTTAATAAAACGTTAGCTGAGTTTTATATTCCAATGACTTACTCAACAATGGTTTAATTTGATTTTGTTTTTTTGAACTATCAAACTGTGCTATTGTCATATATGGATTATAATCATTGTCATTACAAAATAATAACCATTGTGGAAAAAGTTGTTTAATATTTTCATATAATTGTTTAACATGTTTTGTTGATTGTTGATTTAATTTCAAAAAAGTAATATGATTTTCTTTAAATGAATCAATTTCATTTATTTCTATATTAAATGATTTACATTGAGCAAGTAAAAGTCTTAATGGTAAAAGAATATTTTCTTCATCATCTTCTGTATCGATTAAATCAAAAAATGGCCAAAGTAAATTAATATGTGGTGGCAATTGGTTAAATAATGGATCATATTTTTCACGAAATGATTCAATTAATGGCCATATATTCATTGGTGGTAATAAAACAAGTGCTGAACGTTGGCTAATTGATCGTATTCGAAAATTAATAATTAATTGTAATGCATAATGATCCGATTGATTAATATATTTATTATTTATTGGATCTATAGGAATTGTTTCAAGACCAATCATATTAAGATGTTCAATAGAATAAGAAATATTATGTAATTTATGAAGTAAATATCGATCTAATCGAAGACTTAATTGAAAATTAGATGTTATTTGAGCACAAGTATTACGTGATGGATCAAATGTATAACCAGGATTCTGAAAACAAAAACAGTTCTTTTTTATTAGAAAAATTCATAATTATGAAATTTTGATATAGTATCGCAAGTATGGTGGTTTTTAGCATAAAATTGTCTTCGTACAAATGTAATTAAAACTAACAGACTACTGAAAAATAGTATTGATGAAACTTAATTTTACGAAGAAAATTCCCAACTAATTAGTCGTAATTATGTGCGGCATGTAAATCCTAATGACTTATGAATATCCTTGCCTTTCTTAGGAATATCAGTTATTCTGGCTCTCCTAAGGAAGACCACTCTATTAGCTTTAAAAAAAACTGTAAAAATTCCATATTCTCGCAACAATAAACGAAGGATCCGAGAACTTTTCAAGGTATTCATAGCTCACTAGTCATTTTCAAAAGTTGGAGCTGAAAAAAAATCTTGAAAGACAAAGATCAACATTAATTCTAGACTTTTACAACCTTAAAAATCGCTTTCCAAGTCATCAAAACCGTTTTGGTTTGAAAAATTATCAAAATAATCAATCGAAACATAATAAAAGTTCGACCTTCCAAAAACTTTGTATGCTTGTACATAATAGAAAATCTTATGTCTCTCCTATTGTACGATGAGCTTAATATTAATATGATAGAAATACAAAATATGTTACCTGATCAAGATCATAAATATATTTTCAAAGATTATTTATTTTATATTAACGTCTTTTAATTATATTTTGTTCTTTTATATCATTATTTCGAAAATAAAAATCTTCAATAAATATATTATTTTGTGTATTTATCGTTTTAAATA